ATCATTTTCACGGAAGGATGGCGGCAGGTTATCAATCCACATGGAACACGGCTATACATACGTGTGTCATGCAATTCTTGAATTGTTTGCGTTTCTAAGTTTCTAAAATTTTAATTAGTGAATATTGCTTATTATTTATGAGAAATTTTATTGAATATGCGAAATAACTAGTAATATTCTTAGTAACTACTTTTTAAATCAATTTAAAAAATATATATAAATTCAATCAGGAGAGAGAAATTTTAGTTAAAAATATTCTTATTAGGTTAGAGTATTTCATCATTTTTTATATTTATTTTTTTAAGGTGAGCATAAAAAATAATTAATAGGATAACACTAGTTATTTCTTAGACACATAAAATTTTCTCGATCCATTAGTTATTATCTGGGCCTATTTCAAAGAAAATAAATAGATGTAAGTAGGAGAGATAAATCATAAATAAAAATACTCTTATCATACTTTTTTAGTCATGAGTTTCATTTTTTTTTTTGTGTATGTTTTTTTTCTTCTAAGTGACTAATAAGATGTTATTAGATAATTTTTTAGAACTGTAAAATTTTTGTTTTTATTTTTTTAATTTTATTTTGAAATATAATTCTATTTTGTAATATGCTTTTTTAATTTAATGCTGAAAAATATTAAGACGCTTAGCATACACAAGAGTATGGGGAAAAAAACACAAATCTCATCATCGTATAAATCGATGTTAACATAACTTGCTATGATAAAATAACAAAAGAAAATAAAGTTTAATAACTAAAAAAAATGAAACAATGCCGTCCGGCTCGGAAGGGAGGGTACACCAATGAACAATGAAAATGAGTTCTGTTTTAGTTTATAGTTGGAATTGGATTTGGAATTATAAACGACACTAAAATATTTATTTAATTCAAAATGAAAAATACAATTAATTTTTTTTCATATGAAAACAATCATTTCAGTAAACATTTTCTTTCCTGTTCCTATATATAAACAAAAAAAATATGTTTAGTCAAACAGGCTTTTGCTTACCTTATAAGACTAAAATATCTCATAAGAGTATTTGAAAATATGTAATCTGGTCGACCATCTCAAGAAGCAATAAATAATGAAAGCTTTTATCGAGGTGTGTAGCCCAGCAGTACTGATAGGGTTTCTCATCTATGCATCTTGGATTCAATTCTTAATATATATGTGTTATTTTTCATGAATTCGCGGATTAGTCGTGCATGTAAGCTATCCAAATATCCCGGGTTATAAAAAAAATAACAAAATAAATAAATAATGGAAGCCACTTCAGGAGGACAGCGTGAACGTCGCCAAGCGAAGTTGAAGAAATTACTGAACAGGCTGCATCAGGCTCCGAATCAATCAATGGGAGGACTGTGAACAAGAAAGAGTCCTTTTTCCACAAGGAAAAGGGAGGTCAGTTTTAGTTCACCAAGAACAATCCGCCTCTATCCATAGACTTCCATGAATATCATGGCAGCCTCCCGAGGGACCAAGAGTGTGATTGTTTTTACCGTTAAATGATAATTTTTATTTTTTCTTCAATTTATTTTTTTGAAATAAATAATAATAATATTATTAATACTAACCCAGAAATAATGTATAACTTTAGTTCAAGATAATAATATAAAATACTTGAACATGATTCTGCACTAGTGATCGAAATAGTTGAGTGAGAAAGAAGCATCTTGTTGTCTTATTAATCTAATATCCAAGGGTTTTGCTAACAAGTTGCGTTGAAAATCACTAGCTTAATTCCACTTTCACACTCACACCTACAGTTAGTTTCTTTAATGATTGCATTTCTTGATTAACTAAATAAGTGCAACTATTTAATAAAAAAATCAAACTCAATCATAAAATATAAGTTAAATGATGTCTGGACTAACATTGCCTGGTTTTTTACTAACATGATAGTTGGAAAATTAAGATAAATATTTTTTCGATTCAAAAATTAAATTCTCATCTTATTTTACACTCAAAACACCTAAAAAAATTCTATGCAACTTGATAAACCCATTCTTTAAAAAACATGAAAAACCATCTCCAAATCTAGAATCAATCCAAAATAAAAAATCTTATCAAACTTATATATGTTTCTTTATGCAATTTCAAGAAAAAAAAACATCTAATTTGAAATCCCCTCGTCTTAACCCTAATATTAATTGTTTTTGTGATCAAGATCAATGCAAAGAAAATTTCTCTCTCTAGCATTGGATTGCAACATTTTTTCTCACCTTTCTCATATCACAAATTAAAAAAAATAAAATAAAATAAAATTTGGGACCATAATTGATTCTATACTTAAATTTCAAAAACTAAAGGAATCTAATATCTATACTTTGTAAAGTACAGGGACTATAATAAATATTTTACCTAAAATTTGTTAAAGCCAGTCATTCCTTCCATGTTTTTCACTTTGATCTTCTAGCTTTCAATTCCATCATCCCCCAACAAACTAATATATAATTTGGTCCAATAAAAGCTAAAAAAAAAAGATAAGAAAAGACATTGTAGCACTCTATCTATAATACCATGTAAAGGAATTTAAAGTGTATTTTGCATAGTGAATTCTCTAAGTATTTTACATTAAATTCTAGGGTATTAAGCATAGATGCCAAATGGTTGCTGCCCTAATGCCCAACCAAATTTTTTCTAGTACAAAAAAAATACCCAAACAATGGTAAAGTTATACCATGCCATTAAATTAAATTAACATACATGTTGCTAATACATTTAAAATGATACTTAAAACAAGTTCCATGTAATCAATTACTTATAAAGTAAGTGTTTCTTTACTTGATGAAGCAAATGGATGGATAAAACTATAAAAAGAAAAAAACTAATATAGTTGTCAATGACTAATTCTTAACAGAAAAAACAATATAATCTCCTTAAATTATTATGTGAACCTTGAGGTATTAAGGAGACTATGTGATAAAAAACCAATTTGAAACTTGGGATTTGTTGCTTTATCTATGCTAAATTCAGCTTTAAGTTTCTAGTGATTTACTTTAATGAGTTTAATAAACTTAATTAATTTAATAATATAATTAGAGAAGAAGAAATCAACAACAAACAAATAATAAAATATAAAAAATGATTGAATGTAAAAAATGAATGTTTTCCAGTGTTATAAAAACATACTATTACAATATTTTTAAAATTTCTAAATGATCTTATTTGATAACTATGTAAAAAAATAAGAACAAAATAATTGCATAGAAAGAAAAATAAATAAATAAAATCTAAATAACTAGTAAATAACATGTCGAACGAGAAAATAAAAAATAACATAATTTTTAAAAATAAAAAACAAAATTAACCCGAGTTTGTCTGAGCTAACATACCAAATATATAACCTAGTTATGGAAGTAAGATAACCATGTGGAAAACAGATGAAATAAAATTATGTAGCTAAATTATTAAATAAATCTAATATTAAAGAGAGAAATTAAAAGAAAATATAAAAAAAGGCTTAATTCAACTTTGTTGAATTTGCTGAATCTATGACCCAAAACATGATATTGGGATAAATCCATACTTTTTTTTAAAAAAAATAACGAATATCAATTTTGAACAAATTTAATGTTGATAGATGAAACTAAAAAAATACATATTTAAAATGACCTAAAAAAGAATGAAGTCAACTTGATTTAATCTTCAATACCTGTGGTATAAATCATGAGACTAGATTACAGTATAAACTGCAAATTTGAAAAAAAATAATGTTAAATTCCCAATCAACCAAAATAATTAGGGATAAGATTGAAAAAACAAATTCAATAAAAAATAGATTTGAAAGGAATGAGAACTAAATTTGACACAAAAATAAAATAAAATCAAACAACAAGGAATAAGATTGAAAAACAATTCCACTCAAGAAAATGATAACAAAAAAATAAAAAAAATAATAAAAAGAACAAGAACTAAACTTGATATAAAAGCCAAAAGTCAATGGATGAAACTGAAACAAAAAATAATTAAATAAAAAATTCAAAACTGAATATATTGAAAAAAAATAAGAACCCAATTTGATTAAATAAACTAATAACAAGATTTTTTTGTATTTTTTCAATGTCCACCATGTTTTGTGAGGAGGGAAAAGAGACAACAGGGTGGAAAAACACAATGTTGTAAGCGCTTAACTACCACTTGTTTGGTGACAGTGCTTGACCATTATGATAGAGGTGGCGAGACGCATCAAGCATTACCTTATAAGATGACGTTTGAAGTTTTCTTAACATTGTATTCTAAATTTTTATTTTAACTATATATTTTTTTTATATATACAAAGATTCAATTACCCTTAAACCCACTTATAAAAACAATAAAATCAATGATGAAAGTACCCTTAAATCTAAAGCCAGGAGAGTTTTATTCTAAGGGGCACTCAAGTAACTGCATAATACATAAAACCTGAAAAGTAAAAAAGGTCCCTTAGCCTATCTTAAATGTTTTTTTTTTAAAGGTAATTTAGTAACTATACTATACAATAAAAATTTTAAAATACCGATTAATCCCAATCAAATTTTATAATGGCAAATGGGTTCCATGAAAAAAACCTTTTTACCCCAAGATGAAGCTAAATGAGTTTGCACCGAGTGAAACAATAATTTCAATGTAGAAAACTACAGTGAAATGAAAGTGTGGAAACAGTAAATGAGCTGTTTTACCTTTTGTTACAGTGAGCTCCTCTTTTAGCTTTTGTCATGAAGGTTTAAAAATGAGACCGGGTTGGGCCTTGGGCCGGCCGAGCCGGTGGATATATCTCCTTGTTGGATATCTGCCATGGCTCTGACTGTCCAAGAAAAATACAAAATTTTCTTATACGCGTGGACCCAGCAACATATAGGTAGTGATGTACCTTCTAGTTTTTACCTTGTACTCTCTCTCCTTCTTTCAAACACTGAAAATACCTCCTTCATTTTTATTGAAATAACATATATTTATTTTATTTATAATTTATACCATTATAAATTTAAAATATCCTGAAACATGGTGATTACAGTATTAGCCAGCACAAGCTGCCATATATATCACCACTCTGTTAAATCTCCGCCCTTCCTTCCTTATCATACCATCTCTCCCCTCTATCTCTTCCTCTTCTCACCATTTCTTTCTAAGAGCTTCATTTCAAAACCTCTTCAATGGTTAAGTCCTCCTCAGCATCCAACCTCTGAAAGCCGCCCTTCGTTGCTCGCAGCTCTTTAGCCTTCTTAGAATTGTCTCCCTCGAATACATATGCTTTCCTCTGCTGCAAGTCTTATTGGTTCGAAACATCAATACAGTGCATTAAAAACCACTTTCTCTGTCTTCTTCAATACCTGAAGTTGCAGAACTCAAAAGAGTTCTGCTATTTGGTAATTATTTCTTGAATTCCATATATATATATGTAACAATCCTTGAGCTGGTCCATGCCATTAATGTATACATGTCCTTGTCCAGAAAGCTGCCTTTTTTTTTATCTTTCCCAGTTCTGAAATGCCCTGCTGTTTCAATCTTATGCTGTTCTTGTTCGTTCTTTCGTTTTCAAATTTAAACAGTAATTCCCTTGGTTGGTATCGAATTCTTTCATTCTTTATCTATTTTAGATGCAAGAGGGTGCTGGGATCTTATCCTCTTATCTGGACTTTCTCAACAAGACTTTCTTTCGTCCACGCAGTTATTGCAGTGAAGAATTATTTTATTGCTGTAAAAAGGAACGGACTCATTAATTCATTGAGATTTGTTGAAATACAGGTACACTTGGGAGATTTGTGCTCATTGAAACAAACAAGAGCTGAAAATGGCACCAAGGAACAGTCGTGGCAAGGCTAAAGGAGAGAGGAAGAAGAAGGACGAGAAGGGTATCGATTTATTTTCTAACATAACATTGTTTAATTTAATATAATAAATCGATCATGAAGAACCTCTTGAGTCCATTCTATCAGTCACGAGCTAATGTATTAAATGTTCTAATTGACTTCTTGTGCAGTTCTCCCTGCTGTTGCTGATATCACAATAAACCTTCCCGACGAGACTCATGTTGTTCTGAAGGTTTGGTGCTCCGGAGTCACGGTTCTTAATTATATTAGCAAATTCTTTCCAAGGAATTATCATTTTTGCTGCACTTACATAGCTAGCATCTTCTACTTGTAGCCGTCTCTACATTCCCTATAATTTGGCAGGCATCTTTTGCTTGGTTAGGTTCCGCAGGCTTGATTTTTTGGAAGGTAGCTTGAGTACTTTAGTGCTCCAGCCATGGTTGGGTGCCCGCCATGAGCTCATTGGCTGAATTGGAATCTAATTTAGGCAATAATTCCCTTTTCTGGCCATTATTTTACTCCTCAGAGTTTTTTTAATATTTTTTATTTATATTGACATATCAAAATAATTTCAAAAAACGGATTAGCCCGGGGACATTAATCACTGGTTTTTGAAAGGCATGGAAACAATGGAAAACGTTTTAGATACGCTAGCAAAACTTTCAGAAGGGTATCACTCTTTTCAACAAATGGGTTTGACAATATCTTTATTTCCTCTATAATACGTGATTAGTAAAAAGATGCATAATATGACTTGATTGCAAGCAAAGCCCGTCCTCTTCTTGCTCGTTTTACTTTTCCTAGCATGTGCTCCAGGGAAAATACAGTGACATTTGTTGCTCTTTTGGTATGTATTGACCTGCCCTCCTACTACTAAGCCACGTATCAATCTTGAGCAGGGAATATCAACAGACAGGATCATAGATGTTCGGCGGCTTCTATCGGTGAATACTGGAACGTGCTACATCACAAACTTTTCATTATCACATGAGGTGAAGACAGAGTAAAAATTATTGTATATTGTTTTTTTCCCCCCTTCATATACGGTGTCGTGTGGGTGTTTTAGTGTCGGTCAAGTCCTAATGATCAATTAAGTGTGACAAGATTAATCAATGCGCTTCCCTGTTGATGTCACGTGAGCGGAAAATCTAACGCACAAAATTTGCACTGATTGTCAAGGGCGATCAAAACGTGGGGCTTCCATTTTTCAACGTTTTTTGGGTGTCCACCTCCGAAAAAGAAAGGGGCATTAAAGTACTTTGACCTTTCCATGTCTTATTGACAGGTCAGAGGATCGCGGTTAAAAGACACGGTCGACGTGTCAGCTCTCAAGCCGTGTGTGCTCACTCTGAGCGAAGGTAAGAAGCAACAAACGGCGCCGTTTCATTCTTTAAGCGACAGCGTCTACTTTTGCGTGCTTCATTCTCCATTTATTTTTCTCGTTGCAACAGAGGACTACGATGAGGAGCTTGCAGTGGCGCACGTTAGACGACTCCTCGACATCGTGGCATGCACAACGTGCTTCGGTCCATCGGCGACTGCGCAGGATAAGCTCAAGTCCGATACCGGAAAGAATGCGCCGGCTGCGCAGGATAATAAGACTTCTAAGAAAACCACCACCAAATCTCCATCCACCGCCGCTATCTCCACTAAGAAATCATCGTCACCAAAATCAGCATCGAAAGATGTTCCAGTGGACGCAGAGGGAGAAATGAGCCACTCGTGCCCTAAGCTTGGGAGCTTTTACGAGTTCTTTTCTCTCTCGCATCTCACCCCTCCTCTTCAATGTACTCTCTCTCGCTGATTAAAAATAAAAGAGCGTAATTTTGAGATAATTGAGGGTATAATTGGAAATGATAGAAAATGTGATTGGTGTTGTTGCAGTTATAAGGAAGGCAACGAAAAGAGAGATTGATGAGATTTCCGTGGATGATCATCTTTTCTCGCTTGATGTAAGATTGTTTTATTTATGAATTTGCTTTTATCTTTTGACAAGGCTTTGTTCTTAATTGTTGTTGAAATGATCAGGTGAAGCTATGCAACGGGAAGCTGGTTCAGGTTGAAGCTCGCAGAAAAGGGTTTTATAGCGTTGGAAAGCAGAGGATTTTATGTCACAATCTTGTTGATTTGCTAAGGCAGCTTAGTCGAGCTTTTGATAATGTTAGTTTCACCACCTTGCTCAATTTGTTTGGGCTGATTTTTTTTTTTTTTTTGTATTGGATAATATTCGAATTGGTGCAACCTGTATCATTTTTCGGTTGGAATCCATGAACTTTCTTAAAAGATCATTTATTGTTTGGACAAACAGTTAGTGTCCGTGCACACGACATATGCTTTTCCAATATTTTTCTGAGTATGAAGTTTGGTCTGTAAATGAACTTAGATTCATCTTTTCTTGAGATACTACGTTGCTTTCAGTTTAGACTTTGTTGAAGTGATATGGATGTCATGTCTTATGTGCCAGGCTTACGATGAGCTCATGAAAGCATTTGCTGAGCGTAACAAGGTATCTAACCTTTGTGTCGATTCTTCTCTCACAAAAAACAAGGGAAATAAACTGTTCACTTGTGATTTATGATTTCTTGCTGATGTTGCAGTTGTTGTTTCCAATTTTTAACCTTTTTGTTGCTTCCTGGCCTTTTATAGTTTGGGAATCTTCCGTATGGTTTTAGAGCAAACACATGGCTTATCCCTCCTGTTGCAGCACAGTTGCCGTCAGTTTTCCCTCCTCTCCCAGTTGAGGATGAAACATGGGGAGGAAATGGGGGTGGTCTAGGAAGAGATGGGAAAAAATATTTAATACCTTGGGCTGATGAGTTTTTGTTTGTCGCATCCATGCCTTGCAAGACAGCTGAGGAGAGGCAGATTCGAGACAGGAAAGCCTTCCTTCTTCACAGCCTATTTGTCGATGTTGCTATTTTCAGAGCCATTAAGGCTGTGCAACATGTAAGACTAAAGCCAGATTTATTGGGTTCGGTTGCAAACAGTGATATTCCTTATACAGAGAGAATTGGGGATTTAAGCGTCACAGTTATGAAAGATGCTTCCAATGCAAGCTCTAAGGTAGACACTAAAATTGATGGGATTCAAGCAACTGGAACTGATAAGAAACATTTAGTAGAGAGGAACCTTTTGAAAGGGATCACTGCTGACGAGAATACGGCTGCTCATGTAAGTTCCAGAAAACATGATTGATCAATGATGCTTTTCCAAGGGTTTGGGATTTTAATTTTAGTTTAATTGGTAAACTGGTGAATACTTTTGCATTTTGACTGCAGGACATTGCCACCCTTGGTTTTCTTAATGTAAGATACTGTGGTTTCATCGCCATTGTAAAAGTTGAGGTGAGGGATGAAAAGAAAGCCAGTCCTCCATCCCAAAGTATTGAACTTGAACAGCCTGAAGGTGGTGCAAATGCCCTTAACATCAACAGGTCCTTACCATCTTTTCCTATTGATGAACTAGTATTAAAATGAGCCACTTACCATTGAAGTTGATAGTTATATATGCAATAGAGATCTTAGATGTCATCTGTCAGTGGAGTTGTATACCTGCCAGTGGTCGTGCTAAGAATCATATACGATTGCTGTATTCTAGCTTTGAACAAGCAGTGAAAACTGTGATGGATCATTCGTTAGTTGGGAGCCAATAGTTTTGATGTTTTCTATTTTGATTTGTCCAAAGATATGTATGAGTCCAATATAAGAAATTTAGTCAGCTTTGATTTATTACATTTTTTCAATTTCAGAAGTGGATCTTTTTCTTGAACAATTTTAGAATGCAATGGCGATCCAATTCGATAATGTGATATTGTTTCCATTTCAAATAAATTATGCTGAAGTTAAATTTTAACCCTGCTTTTTCCTTGAATCTCAATGTGGGTGACTGACATAGAATCTTAATTTCTCCTATCTTGGAAAATACCAATCACGTCTTGTGATTTTCAACTCCAAAATTTTCAAAGATAGAAATCTTTGAATGGTGATTTGATTGATTCTCTATCTATATGGCATGTCGGTTCTTACCTGTGAATCTATTTTTTGTTACTAGCATTTAAATCAACGAGGGTTTCATGACATGCATTCCCATGCTACCGTTGTATTATTGTACCAATCTTGATGATTGCAACATCATACCAGAATGGAAGATATTTATACCCAAAAGCTGATACTTCAGATTTTAATATTATGACTTCATGGTGATAGTATATGCTCCATAATTTGGTTCTCTTCTAGTTTTTTGGCTTCATTCATTATACAGAGATCTAACTTTGCCTTCCTTACAGCTTGAGACTACTACTTTACAAAACGATACCTTCTGAGCACACGAAGCAGACACCAAATCTGCAAACTTTGGAATGCGAAGAGCTCTGTGCTTCCGAAGCAATTGTAGAGAGATTGCTGGAAGAAAGTGTTGCTAGGCTTGAAGAAGAGGCACCAGAGCAGGATCATTTGGTGAGATGGGAACTTGGAGCCTGCTGGATGCAACATTTGCAAGACCAGAAAAATACTGAAAAAGATAAGAAACCTTCTACAGAAACAGAAATGAAGGTTGAGGGGCTTGGGACACCTCTTAAGTCCCTTAAGAACAAGAAAAAATCAGATGAAAGCCATGTAAAAATGCAGTCGGAAAACTCAAGACCTGCCTTTGATGGTTTAAGTGGGGCAGTTGAAGATGCTACATTGCCTTACAAGGAGTCTCACCTTGAAATTGATGCCAAAGATAATGAGCTTGCACTGCAGCAGTTGTTGTCTGACGCAGCCTTTGTTCGACTAAAAGGATCAGATACTGGACTTCATCGCAAGGTACTATTTTCTTAACTGATCGTTGCCTTATTGTTTGTATTTTCCCCCCCTCTATTAAGGAGTGAACTAACCTATGAAGTGATTGACAGTCTCTGCGAGAGCTAATCGACTTGTCTCATAGATATTACACAGAAGTTGCTCTTCCTAAACTGGTACTTTACCTTTTTCATTAAATTGTCTCAACCAAACCTGCATTTCTAGAAGTTTACTATAGTTCCTAGATTGAGTACTGATAATGGAACACAGGTAGCAGATTTTGGTTCACTGGAGCTTTCACCCGTCGATGGCCGGACTCTAACTGATTTTATGCACACTAGAGGTCTTCAGATGCGCTCCCTGGGACATGTTGTAAGTTCTTTGTTATCGTGCACCCTTACTTTTTAATCTTCAATACACAGTTTAGTTACATTTATTTGTTCATGAAGAAAATTTTAATTCCATATCTACCTTCTCTTTGGACACAATTATGTTTAACTTTAATGAATGCATCTGTTTTACACTTTTTTAAAACCTTGTTTGTGCTATAACCATCCAGTTTTTCTGAGAATTTGCCAGTCAGATCCTCGTATATTCATGCTTGACAATGAGATCTGTTATCCTGCCATTGTTCTTATGTATAAACATGCATATGTATGTTGTCGTCTGAGCTCGTGCTCATGTTAACTGTATGTGATCCTTATAGTTTTATAAGGCCTTTTCTAGACACTTAAGCGTGCTTGAAACACAGCTGTGATAGATAGCCTTGAGGCATTAATTTTTGAGTGGTAATATTGTGCGGCCTAAGCTTCACAAGATACCGAGCAAACGTCACAAGATAAGGTGCACTCCTTTAAGATCGTCATTTCCAGCTTTTGCTCTTGAGGGCACAGTCAGTTGCTCCTAAATGATTGACTGAAGGCAGGGCCAGCTCTCTTAGTTCCCCGGTTGTAGCATAACTGATAGGGTTGATTACTACGTAGAAAAATTTTGTTTTTTTCATATATAATAAAAATTCTCACCTGTTTTATCTTCATGTGTTGGCATTTACTGCACCATTTAAACTTACTGTTTATTTCAAATTGCACTAAATGTTAAAGTTCTAGCCAATTTTATTATAAAACCAATATTCTTGAGGTTTATGACTCAACCTGTTTGGAGGCTTATGCTGCTCCTCAAAGGAGGTTATGTGCCTCCCCTTATGCTCTCTCGTTTTGAGACAAAAGTTGTCTTTGATCTAGGGTGTTTTTAGTTTACAGGAGTTTTGAATTAACTTCATAAATGGCTGCTATATTTTTGATGTGGCTACTTTCTTTAACTTAGAATTGTCCATGGTTTTTGATTCCAGCAAGTTAATGTGTTAACAACTCTTCTTATAATTGTCAATGTCTACCTTTTAATTTGATTTTTCATTTTAGAGAATTTCTGCTTTTTATATTATCAACCAGGTAAAGCTTTCCGAAAAGCTGTCACATGTGCAGTCACTCTGCATTCATGAGATGATAGTACGAGCCTTTAAGCACATACTTCAGGCTGTGATTGCTGCTGTTATGGACCATGAGAAAATTGCTGTATCAATAGCCGCTGCATTAAATTTGATGCTTGGGGTTCCTGAAAGTAGAGATTCAATCAAGTCTCTGCGTGTCCATCCTCTTGTATGGAGATGGCTGGAGTTATTTTTGAAGAAGCGGTATGAATGGGATCTTAGCAGTTCAAACTTCAAAGATGTGAGGAAATTTGCAATCCTGCGTGGGCTTTGCCACAAGGTATATTTCTGCATGTGCTCTAGAATGCATAACAAGTGGGATATAGGGACTCAAAATTGTTTAATCTACAAAAACCTTGCTTCTTTCCCATTTTTGGTATTCTAACGAGTTGTAGGATGCATCATTTGCAATTAATTCACTGGATCAGTTTGGTAAATATGTCCAAACTTGATTATTTTTGGTGAGGCCCAATTGTAAACCTGTAAAGCATTGGCTTTAAAGCACACGAGTGTATTTCCTCCCTGATTGTGGCATTCCTCCAAATGAAACAATACCTTAAAGGAATTGATTGCATATTCTTGCATACACATTAATCTTTTACTTGATTTGGGAAAATCAAAACAGGTACATGTATAAACTGACACTCTTGTCTTCTCCCATCCTCTCAGGTGGGCATTGAGTTGGTTCCAAGGGATTTTGATATGGATTCTCCACATCCATTCAGAAAATCAGATGTTGTCAGTCTGGTCCCTGTGCATAAGGTGAGTACTAGAGATTAAAGTGGATATGCTTTTCTCCTTATAATCCATATTGACTTGTACCTTTTTATTTTCAGCAAGCAGCATGCTCCTCTGCAGATGGAAGGCAACTCCTGGAATCATCAAAAACAGCTCTAGACAAGGGAAAACTTGAAGATGCAGTCACTTATGGGACAAAGGTTGGTGGGTTCTGAAATTGCACTTCTGATATTCTCTTTGTAAAGGACATAGTTGTCATGGCTTCTGTTTTAATAATCCTTTACCTGTTTTTCCCATGTCAACAAGGTGCTTCACCAACCGTTTAATCAACTTTTTCTATTGGTACTATTGTATTTTAGCTGATTCATATCTGTGGTGTTCCAGGCTCTTGCAAAGCTAGTGGCTGTTTGTGGTCCCTACCATCGAATGACTGCAGGAGCATACAGCCTTCTTGCTGTGGTATTGTATCACACTGGGGACTTCAATCAGGTCTATTTATTGTAGATATTTTTTTTCTTCTCTTTTCCCCCCCTTGATGTAGCTGGAAATTTTCTCCAGTAACACCCAGATTATTTTCACCTTGCTAAATTGCTTATTAGTAGCAGAATGACATGAGTTACAGAGTCGACCCAGAAACTTTGCATTCCGTTATTTTAAGGACTTACGTTTTGTGCTGATTCAATATTCTGTTTGCTTTACAGGCAACTATATATCAGCAAAAAGCTTTGGATATTAATGAGAGAGAATTGGGACTTGATCATCCAGACACAATGAAAAGCTATGGGGATCTTGCTGTGTTCTATTACAGACTTCAACATACAGAGCTGGCTCTCAAGTATGTTTTATTCTTTTTACATTAGAAGTTTTAGTCTTGCACGATACTATGTAATTTCACGTTTTGCATTCATTACATTTTAATCTGATTCTGGCTTGATGTCAAATGATTTTCTCCTGGACTGCCTGATTGTATTCAATTATCCATGTTTATAGTAATCAGAATGATGATTGCTCTTATAGTGATTCTGCACCATAGATGTTAGATATCAATTGCTTGTTTGTGCTCGTTTTGATTATCATATCTAGGGGACATTTTTTTTTTTTAATTGACAGACAAGGTTCTTATTTATATTGCTTAAATCAAGATCCCTTCCTTTTGTCATTTTGGATTTCTTTTGAGCAATAAAATCTTACCTGGCTTTTCCTAAGGCTTGTTTTTTTACTTCTTTTTGGAGTTCTGGGAGATACCTGTAGTTAGATTCATATGTACATTTGTTATAAATTGCTCGTGTTTTGTGTTTTACCTTTACCCTAGTGTGAGAATCCACTACTGTTGTTGATTAGGTATGTAAAGCGTGCTTTGTATCTTTTACATCTCACATGTGGTTCATTACACCCGAACACTGCTGCAACATACATCAATGTGGCTATGATGGAGGAAGGCCTGGGGAATGTGCATGTTGCGCTCAGATATCTTCATAAAGCTCTGAAATGCAACCAAAGTTTACTTGGCCCAGATCATATTCAGGTTTTATTTTGTTCTGAAGTTTGTTTATGTTTTATTGTTCATAATATGCTCACTATTTTCTAGTTGATGACCAAAGTAAAATGGTTGGGTAAGCATATTATATATTAACTTGAAGTTATACATGAAGTGCAATATACATTACCATCTTGTCAAGCATTATAACTAAGCAGTGTGCTAAATGATCTTATAAATTCTGTTCCCATCTACATCAAGAAACTTTTCATATTGTAATTAATTAGCCTTAAGAATGGCCATATTGATTTCCCTCTTCCTCCTTAAATGTAAAAATCCTTAGAAGGGGAAAAAAAGAAGAAAAAGAATGTTCATAAGCATTGAACTATTCAGATGGTCAGCAGTCAGTACCACATCTATAAGCACTTTGCGGATATATTGTAACAATATATGGCCAATGAAACTCCATTTTTTCACTTGTTATGAGCTTATAAATGAGCTAATTACTGCATTTTTTTTTGTGGTTAATAATGCCAGACAGCTGCAAGTTACCATGCAATAGCAATTGCACTCTCATTGATGGAAGCATATCCTTTGAGTGTTCAACATGAACAAACAACCTTGCAAATTCTCCGAGCGAAGCTGGGTCCAGATGATTTGCGTACTCAGGTGTCATGCTAAATTCATCAATTAATCTACACCCCCCACCATTTCTCTCCTCCTAGGCATTCGTGTAGCTATCAGCTACCTTGAGCTAGAAACAAATACTTGTTAGTATGATAGTACTGGACATGCTAAATGAATTTGAACATCTCAAAAGTATTATATTCATTACTGACAACATGTATGTGTAATCCTCTGAAGTCTGACCTGCCCTTCTGGCTTGGCAATCTGAAGTTTGAAATGAAGATAAGATTGCAATTAAATAGGTCCTTGGGTTTCCTTTAAACATGACATGGAGCCATAAGATGAATGACTCTAAATTGATGACTTTAAGGGCTACATAGATTGTTTTATTTTGTTGTTTTTTGACATAGAGATTCATTACCACTAAAAGGGCATGTTTGTATATATGAGTGTGACCAATATCCATTCGTAATTTTAAAATCTTAATGGAATGCTGCAGGATGCTGCTGCTTGGCTTGAGTATTTTGAATCTAAGGCTTTTGAACAGCAAGAAGCTGCACGTAATGGTACTAAGAAACCTGATGCATCAATTGCTAGCAAAGGCCACCTAAGGTAAATTAGACCAACACCGGCCTATTGCCCCTTTTAATTATTTAATGTAGTTTAACCTTCCTCTACTTCTTTGACTAATCACAACATTTGTCCATTTGGATGCTCTGCTATTGGTGTGGTTACTTGTGTTTTTGGGATTTGCATGAGCAGCAATTTATGCTCTTTTAATTTTGTTGGAAATACATCCTTGAAATTGTAACAAGTTAACTTTAACACACACACATACAAAGAGAGAAAAGATGCAAGCTCGAGGTTTCTTCATGATCTTTGCTACACGCACAAACATCAATCAGCAAGGACTTTCATCTCACATTCAGTAGCTTCCCCAAAGGTCATCTTTTTTGTTTTTGGGGTCGAAATATTTGCACAGATCATCATATCTATCCTGTTAATTTTTAGTAATCGGCTTCTTTTCTAATGGATGTGCAGAATAATGTGATCCGGCTGGATGCTACTTTTGCTTTCTGTTTGATTATATGCACCATGAACATGCTGTCACATGAATGCAATCCACATATCTAGCTTATGATGCAAACTCTTGTCCAAACGGACACATATCTTGAAACTAATTTCTGTTTTTAAAATTTGGCAGTGTATCAGATTTGCTGGACTACATTAATCCAAGTCGTGATGCCAAGGGGAGAGATGTGGCTGGGAAGAGACAGAGCTATATCACTAAGGTATCTGGATATTCGTGTTTGATTAAAACAACTCAACTCATCATCCATGCCAATAATGTTGGGGACAAATGACAAGTTTCTGTTCATTACATGATACTTTTTTTTTCCCTGTTAGACTATAGCAATTCAGAATGGGATTTTTCCTGCCACTTTCCTTCTCCTTCTGGGACTTGGGAGTTTCTAAGATTTGGCTTCATGTTTTTTCAAGTTACCATCACATTTGGGGTTTGTCTGGAACTTCAAGCCAAATATGTGCAACCTTGTACTGGACTGAAAAGGAATACATGATAGTACTCTCACTTGTTAAGTCAACATCTGAGGGGACCCCTACTGGAGCATTTGGAATACTTAGAAACTGTCCTTTCTTAGGCTCAGGAAACCAGTTGTCTTTGTTATAGAAGTACAAGGACAAGAAAACAGGGCAAAATCGAGAATAATTATGATTTTCCTTCGACCTTTTGCTTCTTAAATATTTGTTAACATTGAGGATCTCTCACTTGTCTTGTTGTAAATGAAGTAATGAAAAAAGATGAAATGAAGTTCCACTGGGCTGAGATCAACCATTTCACCAAGATATATTATCAGAAAATACAATTGTTTTATATGTAGTAACTTCTAATTTTTTCCTTAATACAACATGCTTTTGCAACTTTGCTTTTCAGGTAAAGGAAAAAACCCAACCAAATTTTGGTATCTCAAGTTCTAATGAATCTCCAAAAAATACTCCTAAAGAGGCTTTGGATGTGGAGATACATGTGCCTGAAGATGATGCTTCCCAGGAGACCAGCTCTGTCCATGTTGAATTCCAGACGCCCATTGTGGAAGAGACTGTAGAAAAAAAATCAAGCATTGTGACTGAAGCCTTTTCTGAAACTCATGCTTTAGGAGATGATGGATGGCAACCAGTTCAAAGGCCAAGATCAGCTGGCTTGTATGGGCGACGACTAAAGCAGCGGCGTGGGATTGTTGGCAAAGTTTATAGTTATCACAAAAAGATTGTGGATCCTGACATGGATTACACTCCTGTCAAGAATGCTAATCAGAATAATAGGTATTACCTTTTAAAGAAACGGACACCATCTCATGGAAGTTATGGAGACCACCAAACTACCAATCTCCCTCAGGGTACCAGATTTGGGAGAAGAATAGTTAAAGCTGTAACCTACAGGGTCAAGTCTGTTCCTTCATCTAATAAAACTGCTACAACAGAGAATCCCAGAATTCACAGCACTGCTCTTACTTCATCAGAATCTGCTCCAATTTCTCCCCCTAATGACATCGGTCAATTCAAGAATTCAATAGTGAGTCTTGGAAAATCCCCTTCATACAAGGAAGTAGCATTGGCCCCACCAGGGACCATTGCTAAGCTGCAGGTCTGGTTTCCTAAAAGCGATACTTCAGATAACCAGGAAATTGGTGATGGAAAACTCAAGGAGACCAATGAAGTTAAAGAAGTTGCTGGTCCAGTAGTGATGAGTGTGGAAGATAGCAGCGGAGAGAATGGTGAGAATTCTGAATCAGATCATACAGATGATTTGAAGAAGGAAACAGGTGTTGCTCTGAAAATGGAAGAACACCACTCGACTCATGTATTGGAAGAAAATTCCTCCCCGAGTATGCAAGGACCTGAATCTGGTGATATTGAGGTTCATGGAATTTTACAGAATGGAATGTTGATTGACCAGATGCAAAATTTAAACAATTCTCTTCCAAAGGAACCACACGAGAAGGATTCATCTATTGAATTGGAACCACTAGTTGGTCCCAACTCCACCCTGCCAGGAGTAGAGGATTTGAAGGACAAACCATTGATTTTGAATTCAGGTGATTCTCAGGGATTGCCAAATAAGAAATTGTCTGCTTCTGCGGCTCCATTCAACCCATCAACATCCATTGGATGCTCTTCACCAGGTGCCATCAACATCCCTCTTCCTTCTGCTCCTGGTGGTGTTCCAGCTGTAGCACCCTGGCCTGTAAACATGACTATTCACCCTGGACCTGCAACTGTCATAACCCCCCTCAATCCAATGTCCTCTCCACACCATCCATACCCATCACCACCTCCAACCCCAAACATGATACACCCATTGTCCTATATGTATCCTCCTTACAGTCAAGCAGTGCCAACCAGTACATTTCCTGTTACTAGCAGCACCTTCCACCCTAATTATTTCTCCTGGCAATGCAATGTGCGCCCCAATGTGTCAGAGTTTATTCCGAGCACAGTATGGTCTGGCTGTCATGCAGTGGAGTTCTCTGTCCCACCACCTGTTGTTGGGCCAATTGCTGATCCTGTATTGGAGCCTAAAGTACAATTTGAAAATTCTGGAAGCCCAAGTCCACCTCCAACTCAGCCAGTGGACATTGACAATGTAGGATTAGCTAATGAAGAAATGAACCTTCAAGCATCAGACAGAAAGGACAACATGAAGGAATTGACTGGAGTTGGCTTGGAAAATATCAAGGAAAATGGTCACTCAAATCTGTCTGAAGTTGAAGTTCGTAGGAACGATTCAAGTCAGAAAAAAAGCCCAAAAGAAAATGTCACTAGCAGTGTTGACCAGCAGATCCATGGGGAGAAAACCTTCAGCATTTTGTTAAGAGGAAGGAGAAACCGGAAGCAGAATCTGAGAATGCCAGTAAGTTTGCTTAGTCGACCATATGGCTCCCAGTCTTTCAAATTTATATGTAATAGAGTGGTAAGAGGCAGCGAATCTCCAAAATCTACAAGCTTCGCTCCTGGTGAAGGCTGCACAGCTAGTGCTACATGATCCTAGGTTCTGCTGTTCTCTCCAGTCAAGTGATTCTGATCGTTTGGAGATAGCTGGAGGATAGTATTTTTATTTGATTATATGCACAAGGGACACACTTATCTTGAGTATTTTCTGGCTTTCATGGTCTTAGCACCTTCTGGAAAATTTACAGGTTTGTTCTCTATAATCAAAGCGAATAGCACTTCTTTTCTTGATTAACAAAAGCAGATAACTTTCTGTTGAACCCACGTATATTTGCTTGCCATGAATTGCTTCTTTGAATCTTCTATTTTCTTGTATAAGTAAATATATGTAAAAGTTGTTCTCCACAATCTCTTTCTGGACTTCCAGATCACAACTGATTGCAGTACGCAGGTTGACCAATCTCCTAGTCTATGGATAAAATTTGGTGTAAATGTATGCAAGATTTATTTGTGAATATTATATTTTTATTTTCTGATAAATTTTCAGTTCTCCATTTGACTTGGTTTGTTCCTGTGCTACAGGAACAGATGCTTCCATTTTGTTCAGGTATTTCTGTGACCCTATCCATCTCTTCTTTTCGTCAATTCCAGAAGACTATCCATTTTAGCATGATAAACAGGCCTGGTTAAAGGGGAGAAAATGTCCTTTTCAGTTAGTTGGTGTCTTGTTAAATTGTACCGCAATTGATTCCTTTGAGAAACTATCCAGAGATGTTTTGGTAGTGGGTACATAGCACATAACTTGACCACTGAGTTCATTCTTGGTATCCGTAATAAGGATGCGTCTGCCATGACTTTGGTAAAAATTAATCCATTTCTTGTACAAAAGTGCTTTACTTTTATGTGACAAAAAAGTGAAGTCAAAGATGACTTGAAGTTATGGTATGGTAACAATCACCGATGCCCAAGTGTCATCAAGCTGGAGATTAGGAGGCTAAAGTGGTTGAAAGGTTCCGGTCTATTATATTGAGTCGCATTTTTTTTTTTTTTTTGGTTCTGCTTGATGTGCAGGTTTACAGTAAGAAGTCTGCCATTGGGACCTTCAACATATGTTTCGTCAAGTAGACAATTTTGGCTTAAAATGTAGCTAGAAAATTTTGATATCTTGGATCACAGCATCTAAATACATCCAGTACTTTCGGTTTCCCGTAGCTTTGACTTTTGAAATATTAATTTGATTGAATTGTAAACAAGGGGAGCTAATCCATTGAATCCAGCTTTGACGTTTTGTTTAAGGGCCCGTGCATGTTTTCCTGTTCTCTGAAAAATGCATTACTGTCATGAAAACCAAAATATCTTTAACTTGTGATGAAATTCTTTTGGAAGATGAATTGTTTTTTATGTTAATTGCGCGAAAGAAATTGTTGGTAAATGGTAATGGTGACACAACATTTATTTTTAAGCCTTATTTGTTTGGTGGAAAATAATTTTTTTTTAAAGTGAATTCACTCTTGAAATAAAAATTCAAAAAAAAAACTTCGATTCTTGAACTCTTCTTTTTGTTAATCCTTCGCATGTCCATTTTTTTTAAAAAAAAAACGAAAAATCTTGCCATTTTCTTTGCAAATTTTAAATTGCCGAACACAATAGAAGACAGGGCAACCCACATATTCCAAATATCTAAAAACCATGCCAAATCTCGCCATTCCTCACAACAAGGTAATCCTTCAGCTACTTCGATTTGTACAGTAACTGGGTTTTTGGCCCAGAAAACCTGCCGGTTGCTCCAACTTTACGAACAATCATAATCAACAGCTTTGTAAGGTAGATTTAATAATCTGGTCCTGGTTAGGTCCAAGATTGAACCAGAACGTAGCTGGACATGGCTTTCTAGCCCTCTAAAAAGTAATTGAATTGGATTCATTTGGAAGTATTTAGAGGAACACCAGTGTTTTTTGTTTTTTTAATCCCTGCTATATATTTCAAATTTATTTCCTTTTTCTTGGAGACGAATCTGTACTTGCAATCTGAAAACAATATTGATGGTGTCTGTTCACAAACTGTCATGAATCATATTTGCAAATAAGTTTCTGGTGCCATGACCTATATTTGGGCAAACTTTGTTTGTTATATATCCAGAAAAATAAATGTATGAATAAGAAAACTCTGATTCCATCTGGGATTTTTTTTTTCTTCTCGAATATGGTTAGTCATCTGCTTACCTCATAAATGCTACCTAAAGTGTACTTTTAGACAACATGAAATATGGATAGCAAATCTGCAGAAAAAAGTATCTGATTATATTCTGTTTATCTGTGATACATGACCAACGAGGCAATGAAGCTAGTAAGCAAGCTGTCTTGGCAGAGGTGATTGAAAGAGACGATGACGACCTTCAATTTTGCATTATAAGATAAAAAGCAGGTTAAGTTTTAACAAACTAACAGAAACAAAAGGGGTTATAAAGTAATGAAAGAAGTGCCATTGTTGCTAGTGCAGGGACATTGAGCTGTCGTTGTCTTGCTCGGTGATGTGCTTAGCAGATTTCCCAAGTTTATCATTGTCTAGTACATACATAAAGCTGTTGCTCATTGTGATCTAACCATTGATAATTGGATTTTTCTAAAATATTCCCTTTGGCCACATGTTAAAATGGTGTTGGAGGTTTTAAGATAAGAAGTTTTCTTTGTTCGAACACTTTTAAAATGTGTTTAAGATTGTTGTTCATTTTTACCTCTTTGATTTGGTTTTACCAAACATAAAACGTACTTGTAAATCAATAAATGAAAGAAAATATCAATGTAGAATTGAAAACTAGGCCGAGACAAGATCAATACTTTGGCCTTAAAACAATTTATTGTCTCTTCTATTGTGCTACTAGGGTGATGCAACATGGTTTCTTCGACTTACCGAATCTCTTATTCATCGTAGTAACACTTGTTACACACAACAATTGTCTCCCAGAAAACTACATATAACATCCGTTTGTTCTCACTAAGTGCTAGAAGAGTGATATATAGCTGATGACCTGACTTCTAGTGAAGTTAGTCTGCTATAAAGTGGTTACTTGAAACCAGAAAGAGGCAACAAATGTAACAACTCCTGCTCAGATTGGGATTCATCTTGAGCTCAAGAAAAATATTGGGATATGTTTGATTTTAGTCCAAAAAAGAATTGAGTTTAATCTTGAGTCTAAAAAAAATTATATAATTGGTTTGGTCTCACCCATGAACACTTAAATAGAAATTTAAAAAGTGAAATAAATAATTGTTTGAATCACTATAAAAATTAATGTATTTTTCTTTATATTTATTTTTTTAAATTTATGCTTGTTGATATTACTTATATGTTTTCACTATCTTAACTTCTTAAGATATTATTTGTACATGTTAGTATTAATGATTGATTTCGGTATTGTTAAATAATTACAGTTATTTTAATTTAATTGAAGCACTTTAATTTTTAAAGCGATACAAAATTAGATAAAACTTAAATTAAAACAACCCTCTCTCATGCTTTTTAAATCTTTCATCCAAGACCCAAACAAAACATATACCTATTTGATTTTTTATTTGGGCCCACACGTATCCTATAGCCCAATCATCTCTTGAAACAAAGGTCATTAATTTGGGCCTCTAAAAGCTCCAATGGCCTAAAAAGTCTAAAACACCCACCATCCTTAAAGAACCTATGGCCAAAATAACCTTGGACAAGACTCATTCATTTAAGACAAACTATTACACCTGAATGCTCCACCTCCCCGTCAATCTTGTTAAACAAGGACGCATTCCTTGACCATGTGTCCCTGGAGATTTATAGTTTTAAAATCTGATCCGGTAATTAATCTGATTTAATGATTACAGGTTAGATGGACAGGTCAATTAAAAAAAAAATAATAAATAAAGAAAAGACTAAAAAGAGATGGCATCTTTCCATTTATGAGACTAATTAACATTTTTTTCTCTTGATATGTTAGGTAGCCATCGAGCTGCGTAAATTTTCAAGGCCTCCTCTATGAGACTAGATGGCATCTTACCACCGGATTTGACTGCTATCATGGTTCTCCAATACAGGTCTATACCTAAATCTTCAACCCACCACCCTTTGCTTGGCCGTTTATGTCTCTGGCTCTCCGCATAAGCAAACCTTTCCTGATCCATGTCAACCCAACAATGGAACTAATTTTAAGCAAACACTGTTTGCAGTACCAAGGCATAATAAGTTACCTGTCTCACTCCAATAGCCAATACCAGATCTCCCAGCAGGAACATGGTCAGAAGAACTTAAATTTTTACCAAAGATTATATCCATTGCTTCTTCAAAGGTACAACCATCTGAATACTCTGTTCCACTAATCTTTAGATCCATTTTGTTAACTAGAGAACCTAATGCCTGAGCGGCCGTAACATAGCCCTTAAGGATCACAATCATGAGAAAATGCAGTGCTGTTCTTATATTCGGAATGCGTGTTTGAGGATGAAGTGCTATAATTACTAATGTAAATAAAAAATGAATCCACTCATCTCTACTGGAAAATTTATCCGTTTCTTGAGTGTCTTCTAACTCTTCTAGTTGAGCTTGAAGAGAGGACAAGGAATCCTTCGTTGATAAGAAAGTGCTGAATGAGAGTACAGTATAAGCTTTATCAATTATTATGTTCTGGCTTTCCACTGAACAGGAAGCAACAGCAAGCAACGTAGTATCACGTTTATGTATATAAAAAGGAAAAAGGGCCGGGTCTCAACGGGGTTTACTCAGGTTGTCTAGGTTTCGGGTCGCCAGCCGTGTAAATCAGGTTTTGCCGGGCTAATTCCTCAACAGATTTTTACTTAGATCTGGACTGATTTCAAACCTGGATCGGATGGGTTCTGAATCGACCCGTCGAGCTGGTCCGAATTTCAAAACTATGGTTATTATCATCCACAGTACATAACTTACAAAACATTGAGCCAAGGAAGCTTATGAAGTAACTTGTTGTCATTCAAGACCTTTTGTTCCTGCGAATCCAAAACCATAAATGGCAAGCAGAATTGATGATCCTACCATTGCATGTACACATTCATGTGAATTTAAAAAAACCCTAATGTAAGTCAGATTTTTTTAAAAAAAATAAACAATTTTTTTCTTGCTTAACCTGCATATCCTCTATAACTAAATATACACATGCACGGCTCACAAAACTCTCTTAACTAAACTCGCTTAATACCTAATTGAAATTGTGGTTGTGGCTGCATTTTACAATAAAAGCAGGATTTTGATATTTAATAATCTTAAACAATACTTTTATTTGATATGGGTCCCATGTAAAAACTGAGGTTGGACCTCAGCTTGTGAAAAGCAACTTACACCTGCTTTTCACTCAATGCTCTCCTCTCACCAATATTTTTTTTTATCATAACAAAACTTTTCTGCAATTGAGCTAATAGCTCTGTTCCCTTCTTTTCTGTTAAACTTGATCTGGATAAAGATTGACGAACAGACACTTTCAAGTATTAAGGTTTTTGTGTAAGTATAGAGACAGTAATTCTTGAAGGAGTCGTCCTTTCTTTTTCTGATAGTTGACTAAAAATTGTATACACTATCAAAGTATTATATTCTATTTTTGTTCACCTAATTTTCTTTTTTGAATTCACGTATAATTGTATTTAAAATTTAAATTTGTAAAAACTAGAACATGTTTATAGATTTTTTTATTTACTTTCTACATAAAAATTTATTGTATAATATTTTTAATCACATACATTTTTTTTTAAATTTATTTTTTAAAAAATCACAATTAAATTGTAGTTGCATCAATGATAACTATATAAGAAGACGATCATAGTATGATGAGGTTTTTTTTTAGTATAATCATAATTCTAATTTCATTTCAGGTTACTTTTTATCTGATATTATTTCTCGTTCAGCTATTCAATAATTACAGTGGCCTTTATATATAGATTTTGTACGAGATGGAATTGCAAATAGTTTGATGGAATAATGAATTTTTTTTATTAATGTACAAAGATTATTCATTTTGTTATGTAAGCTTACTTCTAAAGCAACAATATTTTGCATATATATAATATTTTTTGTAGTAGTTTTACAATCAAATCTCATACAAAAAGTATACTAACCAAACACAATAAACTATTTTTTAACTATAATTTCAACTGCAATTTTAACCAAATACTTCAAAATTAATAATAAACCTCACAAAAAACACTTTTTATTAAACTGTTTTTTTTAAAACCACAATCACAATAACAACCACAATACCAAACAAGCTTTTAGAGCGTATTTGATATTGCAGTAG